CTACAACATTTACTACGTCAATTAAGTTAGACGCCTTAACGATATAATAGTTCAGGGCAAAACTGTACTTTTTTACATTATACATGTTGGTAGAGCGAAGTGTATTTCTTTGCCAAATTTAATACTCTGTAATGTTAAATACGATGAAATTAGACAGAAAACAAACGGAAAAACGACTGTGTGGGTGGCCCAAAATAATAACCCTCGCTCAGGGCTAACTGATTCGCTGTTCTATTGACGTCCCTCACCCCAACCTCACCCCCCGCCACACACGTTAAGACGCACGTTACCAGAAAAACTAATGATAAACAGTGTGATTACGGTTTACGTTCGGCTTAAATATCTTCTCTAAATTATTTCAATTACAGCTGTGGTCAACCTAAACTAGATAGGGCAATATGAACGTCGCAATTTTACTACCAACGTAAGTGTAGATCAGTACATCCAGATGAATGAAGCTGGCTAGTCACGCGAACATTTCACGAATGCATTGTGGGAATGGAAACATTGCAAACGTTGCCGTGTCGCTGTTTAATTGTGAGTCGATCTGAGACATTTTATGCTTTCAAACCGAAACCGGTTTTATTGAGGGCCTATTCGATTATGCTAAACCGGTTTTGGTTTCGGGAAAACCATGCACTCGATTATGTCGAAACCTAAAACTGGGTTCTGAAACTTCGAAACCATCCCCGAGGCAGGTTTCGCAGTTTCAGTTTCGCGGTCTCTCGCAACAAACATGGCTGAAACGAAAGCGCCGAGTTCAGATGATCTTGGTGGCAAAATAGAGCATCAGTTTCTGTAACCAAAATAATGATAAAAATCAACTGAGAACTAGGAAAATATTATGTAAAACCCCAGTCTATTGACCATGACTATTTTATGTAATTTGTATATATATAATTACTTGTAACAGTATAATTACATATACGCAAATATTTACCTCCAAAAGCATCTCATCTCTTTCTTATATGTTAATTCACTGATAAAATGAAAAACATATGCTGTCATCCAATTCGTTCCACATATACAGTAGCTGAGACATTTTTTTTGTATCCATTTTGAAACCGGATGGTGAAACAATCCACTCGTTTATAAAACTAGAAACTAGTTTCACTTTGAAACCATGTATCCGAAACTAGACACTCGTTTATAACAGGAGAAACCAGTTTCAAAAACCAAAACCAGTTCCGCAATAATCGAACAGGCACTTAGACTGAGGTTGCTGAAGAATTTTGCATGACGTCACATTGCATTGACGTCACCACCATTCTGGTCTGCCCCCCTCGTAATCAAACGTACCCTTGGTAACCGATGTCACGATGCATGTCAGTTGTCATCACCTCGTACCGTGAGTGAGTGAGTTTAGTTTTACACCGCAATCAGCAATATTCCATCTACATGGCGGCGGTCTGTAAATAATCGAGTCTCGACCAGACAGTCCAGTGATCAACAGCATGAACATCGATCTGCGCAATTGTGTGTCAACCAAGTCAGCGAGCCTGACCACCCGATCCTGTTAGTCGCCTCTTACGACAAGCATGGGTTACTGAAGATTCATTCTAACCCGGACCTTCACGGATGCCTCGTACAGCCTCCTACAGTAAACTACTCAGTAGCACCCCGTTTCTTGGTTTGCAGTTGCTTCACTCGGCTAGCATAACAGGTGGAAACATTACGTTTATGTTTTTCGACGGATAAAAATAAAAATAAAAATAAAAAATGTAAAAATATATTGTCAGTTTTATGCAGGTAAGACGTTGGTAATAAATAAAATACCACACTCGAAACTCGTTTCGTATAATTGGTATGTAATGAGACCGAGTGTAGTATTCTCTATATACATATCGCGTATGTTGTATTTCCTTTAACTGTCAGTAGATGATGCATGCGATATGTGCATGACATCATCCATTCAATATTGCTGTCATGTATAGACATGAGAGCAGTTCCAATTTGTTCAAAATGTGATGATGTTGCAACATCCTAGAAATGAACGTGGCTGTGAATACTGAATAACATCATGTTTTGCTAGCACTTCAAGGAATAGAAGCGAGTAGGGCGTCTTCGTATTCGATTTATGGTCAATTGCATTTCCATACTACCCAGGGCGGAAGGGGTAGGTCTGTGGTTAAAGCGTTCGTTCGTCACCCCAAAGACCAGGGTTCAACTCCCCACATGGGTACAATGTGTGAAGCCTATTTCTGGTGTCCGGTGCCGTGATATTGCTGAAATATTGCTAAGAGCGGAAATGTTATTCAGTCAGTCAGTCAAGCTAATCATCGCATGAGTACAGTGGCTGACGGGACGTTACTGACTGACTGAGTTTGGTTTTACGCCGCTTTTAGCAATATTCCAGCAATATCACGGCGGGGGACACCAGAAATGGGCTTCACACATTGTACCCATGTGGGGATTCGAACCCGGGTCTTCGGCGTGACGAGCGAACGCTTTAACCATTAGGCTACCCCACCGCCCCAGGGACGTTACTGAATACCCCGTGATACTCCATTCTTTGACAATGGAGGTTGACGTGGGATATGCCTGTGACGAGTCCACAGCATACGTGTCTCACCGCGTATCCGTGGGGACATCTCTTTACGACACTTAACATGTGAGTCGAGCCAACACAAACATTACCACGTTGAGTCTTTCTCATTATAACAATCCCCGCACACTCATCCACCACGAGATATGTTGGCTGTCCGCCTCGACATACCAACAACAAACGTGTCTCAAATTATTAAATGAGTGAGTGAGTTAAGTTTTACCCCGCTTTGAGCAACATTCCAGCAATATCACGGCGGGGAACACCAGAAATGGGCTTCACACATTGTACCCATGTGGGGAATCGAACCCGGTTCGGCGTGACGAGCGAACGCTTTAACCACTACGCTACCCCACCGCCTATTATTAAGTGATGTGCATGCTGTTTGTTGTGTTTGTTTCTTTGTTGTTCAACGCCGCACTCAGTATCGATTTGGTCTGTAAATACTACAATCTGGACCAGACAATCCAGTGACCAACTGCATGAGCATCGAAGAGGTGAGCATGAAACATGAGCACATTACACGTATTACAGGTATATATATTCGAAGTCCTGAGTGCGGAGAAATAATGTCACTTTTGTAGATGTTGATCATGGCAATCCAGAATGTTCCTGTCCTGGTTATTCATCAGTAGATGTACATTGCAGTCTCATTTCATGATCATATCACTACCTCACATCTGCCAATCACGCTTCCCTCAGATTACAACAATCCATGCGAATAATTGTTATGAAAGTAGGTTTCGCATATCAGTGACCACAACAGGTGTTCATATATCATTTAGATCTGTCATGAAATCAGATGCTTGCAAATTACCTCGGTCGTTGATGGCATCGAGTGAACGCATATGAAGGTGTTCAGAGATAGTAAGTGTGATCGTTTGCCTATATATGTTTGTTAATATATATTCCTATGGGTTGGCTTTCACAACCCGTTCTTGAAATACAGAGCATTTCACCAAATTCGATTTTTAGCTCACCTTTGGATCACCCTAATCAGTACGCCCTACCTATTGACCCTCACGCACGCAACATACCGCAAAGAGCCAGGTGGTATAAACATTTTCATTACCAGCGTTGGCATTCTCTAATGCTGACTGACGGTATGGATGTTGTGCTGTTTCATTTCATCGCGAAGACAGGTTGTCGCGTCTTCATCAATCGAATGTCAACTCGATATCATTAAACGCTGCAGGCAGCTTCCGTTGTATCTGCCATAGGGATTTGAACAGAGCAATGTTTATCTTGAGAATTCCCTATTTCTGGTTTCAGACATGAGTATATTGTTGGCTTTGTGTCTGGACACTGAAACGACTTTGTCGTTGGCATCCATAACAAAGAGACTTCAATGAAAGTTGTTTTGTTGCATGACAAATAGTGCCTCTATCATTTTGAAATACATTACTCTATGCATGTACCTACTAACATGTTTCAAGCGATGCGATCATTCTCATGGAACCAGTGCCATTGATAATCATGATGGCACATTCTCTCACTTAAATGTTGAGAAAGGCGTTAAAAACACCTGCAGTTGAAATTCACTAACCAGGATTTACACAATGTTCTTTCCTCCGTACTACAAAGTAAATACAAATACAGCGTGTTTGCATGATAAATCTTAGGAAAATTGATTGATTTTATTGAATTTGGTTTATTTTGATTGTATTTTATTTAATTAGTTTCTCGTTGTTTTTCTGGTCCCATAATTTTTATCAAGTACATGACAACTCTCGCATATCATGAGCAAAATCAATAAGCTAGACAAAATCGTGGTCCATAGAGATTATTAAACTCTTGAGCGTTTTTAGACTATTTATCCGCAAAAGATGTGTATCGATTAGAAAGGAGAACAGAAAACGACTGGACCACAGCTTAATTTTGATCTCTTAAATCAAATATTTCTTAAATAAACATACTATGGTAGCGCTAGGTAACCTATAGTTATAACCACTTTAAACATAATTTGGAACTGACCCCTACTGTAATTTACTGTTGCGTGACAAAGGTGCTTTATTTTTAAAGTTTTCAAAATTCATCTATTTGAGACGTCACAATCAGTCTAGATGTTCACGTTATCACAAATATAAACACACTATGCGATTTGAGAGGTTTTCATTTGAAAAGAGACCATAAATTTACATGAATGTCGAAGCAGGATACGAGTAAAAATCACTTTCCTTTAAGGACTTGTGCAGCATCACATTTTGCTGGCGTGATGCGAAGCGGAGACACGGAATGCTATAACAAAAATTCCTCCTTGTGGAAATTAGTCTTATACAATTATGATCGTAGGAGGATAAATCGATCAATTCCAGTTAATTACATCCTGCACTTGTTAACGAATGACACATGGTCGCTCTTTCATTGGATCATGCACCAGCATCAGTAGCACTGATCAATGAAGCTGCCTGGTCATAAGTGCTGACGACCGTTCACTACCGGAGCCCTCGTGTGCTGGAGGCAGAACTATATCTAACGCTGAGGTGGAGGAAGCTGTACTTCATTGCTGGTGGGCAGAGTAGAAGTCGTGGATGTAGTTCTGCGGACGTACTGTGTTATTAACTGCTACCGTGTCGCAAAGTGTGAACAATATATGAAGTATATTCGTCAACAGATGAGTGGCACAGGCATCGTGTATGGAGATTGTAATGCTGTATTGTCATGTTTATATGACAGAACTTTAAATATATAACCTCTCCAATTGTGAGTCTACCATGCTGATATTAAGGGCAGATGCTGAGTGATTAGTCATTAGAGTGACAGAGCAAGAGTAGATTAAATTGTATGGACATAAGTAATATGACCATGAAGTTCCCAGGACGGATACTTTAACAGAGGAAGCATCGCACATATCAACAGAGGATCTGGATTTAGCAAATGGTTTACAAGGCTAGTTAAAGGCAGGATCATTAATCGTTGGCAGAACCTTCGCGGAAGTGAATAATTGCCGGGAGGAATATACGTTCGGAGATTATTCCAGTTTATGAAGCCTGAGTGATTTCCTATGGGATCGCATTATCAGGCAGCCAGTGAACCCTTCTCTGAAATGAACTGCATAATTTCTATGCGCACAGAAACGACATGTCCTGAAGTACTACTACTCATCAAAACAATCTGAAAGAATTTAGAAATGAATACAAGTGATGTTCTTACATGTATGACATGCCACGTGGAAACATCATTCGGTAATGACGTTCTTGACAAGTACATGCTTCAAGTGAACTTGCCAGAAGGTATGCATCCCATGTCATTATCTGGTCCTCCGGCTAACCTGTAGCCTTTATGTCCTTCCTGAGTCTCCGCATTCAGTACTGATTAAAGATCCCCACACACCGACCTAATTTGAGGACTGCATTGTAGTATGGTTCGTGAGATGAGGAACTGTAATGCCGATAGCTATAGAACCGGGGTCATGTTACGGCTATACAAATAGGCAACACTGGGATTTGCTCGTGGGAATGTGTTTGATGGTCTTGTTGTGACACACGGAATCGGAACACCAAATGGATTTAAAGTGAATATCATACATTATGTTGGAGGAGACATTTTCAAATGTCACGTTTCCGGGTGGAGCCGAAAATTTGGAAAAACGTCAGTTCCATTGGATCTTTATTGTTCTGGAAGTGACATTTGATGTGGTGATAATCACTGGTGATGTATGCTTACTTTTCCTGTATTTCACTAGGAAGTTGTTGGGACAATCAACAAACATACTGGTATTTTCAGTAGCTGTTGGTGACCTTATCACAGCTATTGTAACAATACCTTTGGATATATTACAAAAGTTTGTCAACGATCTTTCACCATATCTGTGTAAAAGTTACTTCTATTTTTCGAACGTGGCTCGAACTGCAATCAGCTATAGCATTCTAATGCTGGCAATGGAAAGAATCATGGCTGCGTTGAATCACAAGGTGCGTTTACTGTCTCCAGGAAGATGTCTATTTTTCACAAGTCTGAGCTGGTTCTTCGCTGCGTCCTACAACATCTGGTCCTTGGTATTATACTCTACAGAGTACTACGACTTCAACACTACACCACCTACACGTGTTGCCTTGTGTTTTGTTTCGGAGTCCTTCATGTATCTCTACCAGATATTTCTTGTCCTGGATTTCCTTATTATTTTCTTATTTCCATCAATCGGAACTTTCGGTCTGTTTGTGATTTTTGTAACTCGGAATCGGAATGCTTATCAGCCAGGTAGGCCATACAAACCTTCCTTGTCGGTAATAGTATTTACATTCGCTCTTTTTGTATGTTTTGTAGCTTGTCACCTACCGCTGGAGATCATTTCCTTTTTAATCGATCACAGAGCGGCGTCGTTTTTAACCAATGACGCCAGTGCCTACAAAGTGCTTCAAATGTTCTCCTTTACACGAGGCTTCTGGGACCTGTTTATTTTCGGTGCCTTTCGGCATTACGTGTGCAGAAAAGAAAAGGCATTAGCCCAAATGCGGGATCAGAGGTCCAAGCAGCAGTGTTTGTCACTGGACATTCCCCAACAAGCTTTTTCCACAAGCTTACTGGACAGTGACCAGGAAGTGTCTGCCAGGAACTCCCACTCCAGTGGTGACTCAAGGCAGTAACGGTAGCATGGCTGACTTTAATCTCTGTAACTGTAGTGGTGACAGGCACAACATCACAAGTGCTCTTCATGCTGCATGCTACATCCCCTGCCACTGACAGGAAGACCAACATTATACATGCTTATCTGTCAGATTGATGTGATTCAAGGACAACGTATCCTGGCAGGAATTTTACTTTTCTTTTCTGAAAACAATTATTTTCTCCTCAATGAACTAGCACATATGTCCGTGTTAATAAGGAAGTCGCTACTATCGATTATATGTATAAATGCCTGTACGCGCGTTTCGTTTTGAAATATTGATATAAAAAATTCTGCCATAATGCAGACCTTTCACAAACGAAACAATTGTAAATCCTGACTTGTGGAGATGGGTATCTTATGAGCATAAATGAAAACTGTGCTTGCCTTTGTTGAGTTTCAAGATTTTGATCCACGTATTCAATAATTGTAAATTGTGAAGTCTTAGATGCATATTTTATTGTATAGATGAACAGAATATTGTTTGCATCGGCTTCAAGTACGAACTATGTGTAATGAATACCAGAGAGTATGTGAAACTTACCTACACGCTTTTCAGTATTTTGTGACGAGAAGATGTCTGAACCCTTTAAAATGCCAAATGTTACCATGACAATGACTTATATAAAATGTCAATTTGATCTAACTTCCAACGTATTGGCATATATTGACGTATTTTTAACACTGCACAGTATATCACCCGGGAGTAAGTATTTTTATCCAGTGCTTTAACACAGATTATCAATCTGTTCCGTAACTTGTCCCGGGGCAGTTGTCCTATTGATGAGACCATCCAAACTTGAAAATACCAACGTGAAGGGTGCATGGTGCATGTCACACAATGTCATCATTTCAAAAACGTCTGCATTGAAGGAAATGTGTCATATTAACCAATATTGTCAATGTTTCCCATGAGTTTATACTCGTACATGTACCATCCGTATATATGACTTGCTTGATATTCATTATTTTTACTTGTATTTTATATTCCAAGACACAACGATGGTGAATATCTATTTTGATATGAAATACACCATTTAACATAAAAATGCTCATGTTATGTACATTTCAAGACTGAAGAAGTAAATACAGAATATGAACAGTGGCATAGTGAAGAGAACCTTTATTGCCAAAGTGTCCGGTGTTTGGTGAGATGTAAATATGTGGTACTCTACGATTCAATAATATACATACGTCTATCTCTATGTACAAAAGGGCAATAAATATTTATCGCAATTTGTACCGTGTCAAATCACATTAGAATCAAGTGACAGCCAGGAAACAGGTAACTGCAAAATCCTATAGTGCTGGCTTCGTCTCCCTACGTTACGTTCACTATGCAGCATCCCGATCAATACGTGGTTTCATTGACCAGAATGTTCCAGGGCAATGTGCTGGTCAGATGAACCGAGTTTGGGAAATTATTCATTCATTACAAATAGGCAGTCTAATGTTACCACGAATATACTAATTTCGTAGTGGTAAATCGAACCAGGAGTGTAGTGGTTTGACATAACTTGACGTCTACTCTGATTTACACGCATTGTATGCTCCTTCTATAAATGCCTTAACGAATACTGGAAGAACAGCACTATTCAATATTGACATCATGTGATCCTTGTTGAATGTCCAGAAATCTCAGTTACTAAAACTCTCTGTGTATCATGTATCTTCTTGTCAACATTTATATCCAAGCAATCTAAATATTTTCAAACACCCGATACTAAATATACAATACATACAACACCTTTTAGAAAGTGATCATTTGCAACAAATGTGATTTTTTAGATTACACTTTCTCAGTTCAGTAAAGTACAGATTCTAGTACTTATTGAGGGATTCGAACCACAGTGCGTCTCTCTCTCTTTCTCTCTCTCTCTCTCTCTCTCTCTCTCTCTCTCTCTCTCTCTCTCTCTCTCTCTCTCTCTATCTCTGTCTCTCTGAGATCGGATAATCGCTGTATGATAGAACAGAACAGGTTCGTTATCCACACAGAGACAACAAATCAATTGTTCAGCTCTCCACAAGATCTTCTGTCTTTTCACAATCCATCTCTAAGCTTTCCCCGCGTCTTACCAAAGAGTTGTACAGCCCTCGTAGATTAGGACTAAGGCAACAAATTCAGACGCTTATTGTCCCTTCTCAAAAGTCGACATTTCCTCTCAAGGGACTTGGTCATTACTGACATTTGATTTGATCAGCGCCTGAATCAGGTCTCGGCAGATCTAGCTACTTATCCCCGGCTCCCAGTGGGAACTCACTGGAAATAACAGTTTCAGATTTCTGTCTAGAACAATTCGTCTGTAGGCAAGTGACAACTGATAGGTCAATGGTGTTGTATCCGGAAGGTGTCTACATCCCTATTTTGATCAGAATGTATCAGTTGGGTGACTGCCTATTGCTTATATATTTGGGGAATGAGGAAGTTCATAAATGGGAAGTGATTAATTTTATATGAATAGTATCTTCACACATCTCACAACACGAAAGCTCTTGATGTACAGATTCTGCATCCTTTCACTGAGTAACGAAACCATATTTTGATCGGAATAGTGGCTTGATAGCTTATTGCTTATATACTTCCCATCAAAAGTGTAGACTCACTTAAAACACTCACTATATGTTATGTATATATATATGGTTACATCGAAGATTGATTTCTCCACTAACTTGGGGGAGCCAACTGCAAACTTTATGCAGATGAACTGCACGAGGATCATGCATTAAATTGCTGAAAAGAATGTGCAAATATCGTGCATGTAAACAGCTGCGTTTTGGTGTAAAGTGCTGTTAAGAATTTGTAAATTGCTGAAAAGAATGTGCAAATATCGTGCATGTAAACAGCTGCGTTTTGGTGTAAAGTGCTGTTAAGAATTTGACAATTTTCACTGATTTTGATCATTTATTGAACTCATGACAATCATCTTTTCAACGCTACGAATTTGCCTGAAGAAAGTGGCTATATTGGCACTAGTGAGTCTATGGGAAGTATATATTTGGTAAAGGGGAAGGAACACGTTCATAAATTGAATATGGTTTCGTTTATATGAACATTGTCTTCACACTTCAAACAACACGAAAGCTCTCGATTTACAGATTCTGCATCCTTTCACTAAGTAAAGAAACCATATTTTGATCGGAATAGTGGCTTGATTCATTATTGCTAATGTATTACTTTTGGTAAAGGGAAGAAATATGTTCATAAATGGAAAGTGATTTCTGTTATATCGCATCTTCACACTTCTTGCAACGCATTTACACGAAAAGGCTTGATTTACAGAATCTGCATCCTTTCAGTGAGTAAAGAAACCATATTTTCATTAGAATGAACTAGTGGGCTTATTGCTTATTTATTTGGTAAAGGGGAATGAACATGTTCACAAATGGAATGAGGTTTCTTTTATTTGAATAGTATCTTCACACTTATCAGAACATATTTTTCTTGATTTACAGATTGCACTAACAGACAGATACCTAACGCCCCCACTTCCAGTAAAATATGTCCGAAGTAAATAATGTCCTCTTCGCACTGCCGTTGCTGTACACGTGGTTTACCTTCTACATGCTCCACAGTTAGATGATTCTTTTTACTATATATCCGGCACCCTTATAGCCGTCAATGTCATTAATGTGGTGAGTGAGTGAGTTAACATGTATCGTCACATAGGCAATATTTCAGCCATATCGTGACTCTTTAATAAGGTGTCCCGTATCCACCAGGCATTTCACTAGCTTCATGTGCTCAGTTAATTACAACGCGTCATCAGCTGACGTGGACAGAATGGTTTCCACAGTTTTCAAATTGACCGCTTACATTAGACAAGTAGATTACGGTTATTGTCAGCAATATTCAGTTTGTCCTTTGGATAAATGTATTCTTGATATTTGTGCTCTGTCGCGGTATCACCGATCTGGAGGTCCGGCTCCTTTAACACTGAAGGTTCTTTTAGCTTTATAGTATTACTCTGGAGACATCGCTGACAGCGGCATCAAAGAGACATGGTATCAGACATACATTCAGGCCTTTTGATCATGTCTAGTGTCATCACTTACAACCCACTGAAATACGATCTTAAAGATCAGACAATAACGCCATAAGGACCTTAAACTGGCATAAACGTCTTAGACAATGACATTTGGACACAGATCCATAAACCATCCTCTTTGCGGCCTACATATTGTTTGTACATGTAGTTATTTTCGAATCGTTTCTTTGCACACAAAAGTACAAAAGACATTTAAATGTAGAGCTCTATAAGAAAATCTAATAAAACACAGAATTTGAATTAAAGCGATAAAACGTTCCACATTTGTAAGAAATACTGAACGCTGAGTCGTCTGTATGGTTTCGACCACAGCATGACTATATGAGCGTATACTTACCCATAGGGAGCACCCGTCACAAACACACGCAAAGGTAAGACAATTCTTCACATGAAAACGTATGACAACACATGGAGTAGGTTGAAATATGAAATTCGATTACATTTAATTTTAGACACTGTCGCGTTGCCTAAAAGGAACGTTCACTATTGGAAAGTTGAAGTCATCGCTCTTCTCATACTCTTTGAATCTCTATGTAAAAAGATAAAGGTGAAAGGGTATGGCGCTTTCACATTATTTTCTAGTTCATGTGGGTAAATCATAGGAAGGTTTTATATTTCACCGTCACATTACGCTACAGTAAAATATAAGAAATAAATGTTGCACAGGTATAGTAGATACAGAGGATAATCAGGATGATAACAAGAAACTGTATCACCTGTATCATCCATCAAGACACGTGTAAATAAACATGTTTGAATTACACTGTAATCGAATTTGCACAGAATCTTCCACGGATATGGCCTACCCCCGGAATGGTTTTAAAGTTCAGAGTCATTTTATATTTATGTCACAAGATCATAGATATCTGTTAACATTGATTTACGGTCTGATATTTAGAAAGAAATATTATGCCAGTAATTGTCAGTCATTTAAAGTTGCAAAATGTCAATGGCGAAAATTTGAGCCTTTCACAGACAACAAACAGGATTAAGAAAATACTTAATAGCCTTAGCCGCTCGCTCCGTGGGAGTAACACTTAAAGTAGCATCGCTGATCTGCTGGCAGAGTGGTATGTTGATTGCTGCAAACTTTTGAGGGAATGTTGATCAAGAGTATATATAATACAGTACAAGGACATCTGGTAATTTAATGAGCGTTTGCATAACCTGCTAAATTCTAGCCATCGAGCCGTCATTTTACAAGCTTGGGTGTAGGCTTTGCGTGTGCATTTTCTAGGGCGGACTTGGGTCGGTTTCATGGTGCATCCCTTTGAGATACCACTGCACAATTTAAAACACACAGTTATTATTTCAGAGTTAAAGTTAAGTGTCTGGCTCACCGCCTGTGGACTGTTATTTATCAAAAGTGTATCATGGTGAAACGTTGCCTGATAAATTGTAAGAAAACCTCTCCTCATGGCTTCCGAACCATTCATTTCTTTTCGTTTTCAATCGACCCACAAACGAAAACCTCAACGATATTATTGCCACCCTCGACTCAGTGCAGATAATTTGATAAAACGTGGCTGTAGGTTAGTGGGCAGTGTGGTCTAACAGGTTATCGTGAGGTATGGATTTCCAATTTTCTACTAAATGGAGTTTTTCTTGAAATCAATTACACCATGGTGGCACCTATTGTAAAGGCTGCAAGGTTTCAACTTTTAGTCGAAATCCATTTAAGATGGAAGGGGACAGACATGCTAGGACCCGGTACTAACTTTACTTAATCCAAAATTCTGTAATGTATTGAGTGAATGTTTCAAAGTTAAATGAGCTACATTTGCTTCAGTGTTGGAAGCCGTAACACCTCTCAGGACTCAAACTGACCAAAACCTATGCGAACACAAACTCCGCAACCAATGAGCTAGATAAAAATGAAATTATGCCGAAAGTCCTATTGGTGTTAGTCCGAAAACCACATACTTGCTATGTATCAATGATGTATGCAGACATGCTCGCGTTTGACCCAAAATTGGCATTTGGACCTCTAACACAATTTTGTTGTGAATTTCTATTACATACAAGACCAGAAGAAATCAGGAATGGGTTCCACTAAGTTGTCATGATCATTAACAAGAACAGTTTCGCATTTGAGTCACTTTGTAGATTGCTTTTAATATGTTATATATGTTACAGTCAGATTGTGAAATCAGTCATTTCGTGAAATGACTACGAGGATCAGCCATTTTG